TTTGAGTTGACTGATTATTTTCTTGAAAACGTATAAAGCAAACATATTTGATACATCATCTCGCTTCATTATTTTATTTACAAACCTGTTCGTTCATTTTTCATTGTTATTCAACGAAAAAATAACTATCTAAGATACCTGGGACGATCTCGTTTCATAAAGAATCTCTTTTGTTTACTTATTGTACCTCAAACCTGGGAACAGTTTTTTATATCTGGTATAATTGTCTACAAAGCAAAAATGAATAAAAAAATGTTGGCAACAATTTATAGAAGAATTCAACTTATTTTGACTGTTTTATTTATTCTTTAGATATTGTCTTACTGGTCGGTTTTGTTATTTTAAAGTTTTTTTTTCATCTACAATTGTCCTTGCAAAAGGCGCAAACAATGTGTTCAAATCAGCCATGCGACTTATTTGTAGATTTAGCTGACCTTTGTTGTTGGTTAGAGATGTCAATCATATAACTTGTACGAAGATCGTATTTCCCCCTCAAAGAGTTATTCAAATGGTTCTTTAACGTATAGATATCGTGAAACTCTCACTATACCAGGCAATTGATATACGACATTTCTATTCCGACCGGACAAAGCTGCGTATTTATACATCTGAACAGCCAAACGGACGCACCCCTGTAGCAAGGGTGAATATTTATATACCCAAGTCAATCCTTTGGTTTTTAATAAAAGAAAATAAAGGTATACATTAATGCGACAGCAACCCAACGACACAGACAAATCAAAACATTAAAGTCAATATACAGTCTTTTGAAATAGAACGATGCCTATACAGAATAATAAGCTCAAAACCGCCCCAAGACTAGAAAATACGGAGTTAATTTAATGATATTTACCGTCAAAGATGTCCCAACAGACACAAATGTTTGGTTGAAAAATATCACCTGCTCTTTTTTTCAACTTCGATCGGTGGAAATTAAAGAAGGTGTAATATAAACCAGTAGAAGAAAAACATTTCACTGTTTAGTAACGGTAAAATAAATGATGATTAATATTTGACGTCCAGCGGCAAATTAAATGCATATTCAGGACGAAAACATGTAAATGTAATAGGAATATTAATCCTGCTTTGTACAAGACGACACGCTGAGCTGGACTTTTAACATGTAAGTTCACAAGCTAACAGTTCACAGGAAGAAAAGTCACCCTACCCGGACACATTTCTAACTCCGAGCCGACCAGTCTGTGCTCTTACTCTTAAATGCCGCGTGTTTAGCGTTGAAACAACAAATACCAATTTTAACGTCTTTGTTTGACCCGATGTGGATTCGAACCAACGACCTCCCGCTCTCGAGGCGATCACACTCCCACGAGACCAACGAGGCGAGCGGTAGTATATAATATCATACCAAAAAAACTCAAGTACAATAAACAATACAGTTTCACAGAATTATCACAGTTACTAAAGCGATCTAAAAGTATCTAACCTAAATTAGATGCCTTAAATGATATTGGAAACTACACGTAAATACCGATGGCCGACTTCAGAGTAGATTTCATTGATCAACACTCTCTGCAAACTAAAAACTCCATTTATTTGAGGGTTTCGGATGTGACCAGCTGTTGCAAGGCTATTTTCTGTCCTTATTAAATATGTCCTCATTTTCCAGTGATATTCCAAGTTTCACGTCCAACCTCACTGACGACCTCCTATTGCAAGACCTACTTATTGTATTTAAAATTTATGTGTTCTCGTCATGAACATGCATGAAATATTTGCCGCTGGACGTAAAGCAAACAACTATCAGTCAACTTCATAAGTTATTCCATGTACATGGTACACGAAGACAACAGCTAGTAAAATGCTATAATGTAAAATTTCCATTTAAATCACTCAATAATAGTGCAAAATTTTTTATGTTTTTTTGTTTGCAAATTTTTGCAGTTTACTACATAACTGAACACTTATATTATTTTTTTTATATTTCTTTACTATGGTTCTTATCTTCTGTTTTATTACGATATATTACAAATGGTCTGATGTTTCTTGTTTCTCATTGGTATATTTGGTCACGTGTTTCCCAATATATCTTTAGTATTTTTTCACTATTTTGACATATTGACTCGACGTTCCTTTTTTTCTTTTTTAAATGATATTGATTCCATGTTACTAAGAATAGTAACATCGAGTCAATATAATTTCCAAAAAATAGGAACATCGAGTCAATATCATTTTCAAACTTACACTCACTATTTACATATGTAATATATATATTTGAAGAACTTTCACGCAGTCAATACGTTATATATGGACCTGTTAGATTATGTTGAATCTCAGACTTCGTCCTCGGTCAATATAATCTGACCAAGTCCATATATAACGTATCGACCTCGTCAAAAGCCAATATTGATAATTATAATATATGATTATGTCAGGCGATTATAAAACTAAGCAAGGTAAACGTTTTTCTTCAAGGTGTTTATGCTTCATTTAGACATGAAAAGGGAACGATGGACGACTAAAAAAAAGAAATTGGTTTTCATATAATACATTGTTTTTTTCAATTTAAGAATGACGATCAACCTTGCGAAAATATCTCATCTATATATAAAAAAGAAGATGTGGTATGATTGCCAATGAGACAACTCTCCACAAGAGACCAAATGACACAGAAATTAACAAATATAGGTCACCGTGCGGCCTTCAACAATGAGCAAAGCCCATACCGCACAGTTAGCTATAAAAGTCCCTGAAATGACAATGTAAAACAATTCAAACGAGAAAACTAACGGCCTAATGTATGTACAGAAAATGAACGAAAAACAAATATGTAACACGTGAACAAACGACAACCACTGAATTACAGGCTCCTGACTTGGGACAGGCACATACATACAGAATGTGGCGGGGTTAAACATGTTAGCGGAATCCCAACCCTCCCCCTAACCTGGGACAGTGGTGTAACAGTACAACATAAGAACGAACTATAAAAATCAGTTGAAAGAGGCTTAACTCATCAGATGGATAAAAATACAAATACTACAAATACAAGTGGACGTGGCCGGGTACTTGTACATCCAAACAAGAAAAAGACACTAAGTACAGATCTGAGAGTACACGTTTTGATCGAGCCTCTCAAGTTACATAACTTGATGTTAAAGATGTTACATTTAGGCTATTTAATACGATTTTGTTTCATTTAAGTTTATAGGCATAGTTTTTTTTTATCAAAAAGACAAACCAAACAAAACAAAATTAATTAATTAATTGGACTGAACAGACTTCACTAATTATTTTTCATTTGCATGTAACGTAGTGTAGGAAAATTACAGAATCAAAACCAAAATGAACATTTACTTGAATATTGTTAAGGACCTTATGCATCTAGGCAGGAGCGGATCCAGGGGGTGGTTCCGGGGGTTGGAAGCCCCCCTTTTTTGACGACCAATGCATTTGAATGGGGACATATAGTTGGAACCCCCCCTTTATCCTGGGTTAGGACCCCCTTTTACAAATGGGCTGGATCCGCCCCTGCTAGGTCTGTTCGATTAGAAATTTTGAAACAAGCTTTTTAAATAACAAATTGTTTGAAGAGTTTACTTACTGTTTTCATATGGTCTGGTCTTTACGAATCTATTTCATGATTATTGACAGATTAAAAATATCAAATATATATAACAAGAAGTTTTTGTACAGAAAATTCATGATTGGTCAGTTACAAATGAGTTTTGTATAGGGTTTTGATTTACTCATTTATAAAATAAAAATCGTTATTTTAAAAAGTTGGAATTCAAAAATATAAATTAACCCCTTAATTTCATAAAACTACTCTATAGTAGTATCTTGTAGCTAAAAAAATATAATAAATAAATGACAATTGATGTACTGCCATTTAATCAGTCCGTTTCCAATGCAATTTGGTAACTGTTAGTTGTATATATCAGTCTGAGTACTGTTTAACTATTATTTAAGTTGAATATATTTAGACTCGTCCAATTCAGGGGAATTAGGCTTCTGCAAGTGTTTTTTACGAACTTTTCTTATGTTTTGATGGTTTGTAAGTCAGTAAATTAAAGTTCAATGATTAAGTTAATATTGACATTAAAAGACCTTCTCACAAAAAGGGCTGTTCAAATCACCTCGCCCTTCGGGCTCGGGGATCTCAACATCTCTTTTTGTTCGAAGGTCTTTTAATGTCAATATTAACTTATCATTAAACTTTTACTATTACATATTTAGGTTACAGGTTTATATAATAGCATTAACAGTACCAACAAATGAACTATATGGGTCAAGTGAAATACCTTTCTAATGAGTCATAACAACATACTAGTAGTAGGTGTGTTTGAATAACAAATATTTACTATAAGCACTTTACAACAGCCTTTACTCGTGGATCTTTTTTGCGCATAACTTCCAAAAAACTTCATATTCTCTGTTTGTTATCTATGGTAATTAGTCTTCAACCTCAGAAAATGTTTAGTGTGCCCTTCCACGAAATAATTAATAAGATTGCTTTTAGCGTTTTTCTAACTTTCGAAAATTCCCCCAGACAATAGTTTACAGTTGACAAAAGCCCTAAAATTACATCAGATGATGCTAGAAGATACATTTGTCTTTTGAAATACAACTGTCATCATGTGTAAGGATCCTTATGATGCTATGCGAATGCTAAAGCTGAAAATTTGAAAGAGAACTTCGGATTTCATAAGAGTTTTTCGGGATTGACTTTAGGAATGATCAGAACAAATTATCGGAAAGCATACGAGAAAGAAAAAAATGTTGGATAATAAAATAACCAGAATAATAAAATCTTCTAATTTAGCAAAAGAGAATAAAGATAGAAGTTTAAAAAAGAAAATTGCAAAACACCTCGAAAAGCACATTGTTTGTAATATATTCAAATAAAGCTGAATTACAGTTGAAAGCTGGAAACTTTGGGAAAAGCAATCAACCACAGTAATCTGGAATATTTCATTTCATTTGATGTTTTGTTTATCGGTTCTGCATATATGTGTTTTAATCATAAGAAATGGAAGAAATGAACTCAATGTATTTAATGCATATCATATTAACTGAACATGAAGACTATAACGAAAATAATAACACTAGTCTTTTTAAAAGTAATGCCGTTAATTCCATTGCACGAATAATTGTATATTATTTCACATAAAATATTATTTACACTCTCAAACATATGGAATACAATTCTCTGCTCGGAACAATATTTACCAATCACATGAGTATAGATAAGGGTGCAGATCGGAGCTTACTTGTCGCATAGTTTGTATTACTAAGCTTTTATAAAACACAAACCTGCAAATGTACCAGATCACTGGCTATGTATATGTTTATGTGTAGAATAAGTGTGCACGGAAGACTCACTGCAAAGAGTTATTGTTAACGACAATAATTTAATTAAATGAGTCAATAAATTGGGAAGATGCTCAAATAAAGAACCTAGGGTCACAAGTAGTCTTTTTTCTAACCAAAACATACATGTATATTTTGGTTAATTAAAATCGATTTTATTTTCATATGACATTATAAAATGCATATGTTTCAGTTTGAATAAACTATAAAGGATTGTAATTTGTTGTGCCATATGAAGACAATTTGTTGTAGTAGCACCGTGTAAGTAGGTACTGGCTTTTCAGTAAGAAATAATTAGAAAAGAAAGTATATAAACTCATCATAGACACCAAGCTTCAAAACACTCAACAGTGACGCTCGAATAAAAAAAATTAAAATGGTTAAATAAAATACAAAAATTAAGAGCATTGATGATTCAAAATTCCAAAAGGTTTTGAAAAATACAGCTAAGGTAATCTATTCCTGTTGTAGAAAGTCCTTAGTATTTCGAAAAATTCAAAGTTATAAACAGTTGATTTATAAGTATGAGCTTATATGAGAATGGTGTATAGTAGACAAACTCCTTTTGAATACAAGAATGAATATCATCATATAAATAAAGGGAAAGCGCTTTAATTTTTTTTCTATATTTTTTTTTCATTTGGGAAGATAATATTTCCTGAGAGATACAGTCGACGAACTTATCATCGATAACGTTGGACTTTCATTCAATATGTACGTACATGCGATAAATAAGAACAACAACATCTATGAAAAAACGAAAAACATATCACAGCAAAAAACGGACGGTCATCCAATGACGAAAAATGATAACACAGAGATAACACATTTCATAGTTACAAACTTAAGTAAATTTAAGACTAGCAAACACAGTATAATAACTTATAAAAGTCTTTCATTTTTAAGTCAGTACATCTTATGGTACAGCATGTTTTGTTTCGTCAGCATTTGAATCATTGTCCGGTGCCTTATGTGCAACTTTTGTTTTTAACTTTCTGAAATAAAAAGATAAAATAATATATAGAAAAGTCAAAGAAAAATTAATTAAAATTTCTAAATTCGTTAATATTCTAGGTTTGATGTCATGACCATCTTTATTTCTAATATGGAATATTTATACAAATAGCTAATAGGGGCGCATATATATAACATGATCTGATATTTTCGTATTATCATTCTTCTCTAAAAGTCAAGTCCGTACATTTGACAATGGATCGGAAGATATTTGGCAGGTCTTTGGTGGAATCTTCTAGTTAAATACTTAATGATAAGAAATCTGGTTTTTTTGTTAATTTTGGGTGCCATCGAATTTTATAAAGTTGTTTGGTATGTATATGGAGAAGAAATAGATACAAAATAGAAACAAAAACTTTATAAATTTCGTACTTTGGAAGCGGTTTTCTGGATTTAAATTTAAAAGGAACACTCAAACCCACCCATTTGAAAGCCAAATGTCATAAAGAGAAAGGCCAAATGTCATAAAGAGAAAGGCCAAATGTCATAAAGAGAAAGTCAAATGTCATAAAGAGAAAGGCCAAATGTCATAAAGAGAAAGGCTAAATGTCATAAAGAGAAAGGCCAAATGTCATAAAGAGAAAGGTAAAATGACATAAAGAGAAAGGCCAAATGCATCTGGGTTCAAGGATGTTCGCTTCTCTGTTTCAAAATCACAAGCTTTTTTCGTTAAAAGACTGTTATAAATTAGTAGTATATAAATAAAGGAACTATATAAGCAGAAAAAAATTAGGGGTCCGTGTGCTTCTTTTCGAGATATAAGCCATTGAAAATTTGGCGGGAAATGATTCTCTCTAGATTTTTCATACATTTAACATTGGCACCTTTTTTCTTTCAAAAACTGTGAAAAAATAACAAGGATTTAATAAGAATTTCAAAGATGACATTTTAAACTATATGCAATCAAATTATGAAAAGAAAAGCAGGGGTGACCGGGCATTTTTTTTTTTAAATGCCACTACATAGATTAAACCAGAGGATTCCGAATATCTGACAAAAATTCAAAAACAAGAGGATCGAACATCCTTAATTAAGAGTTCCTGATGAAGGTTAATCAGGGAAAGTGCTTTGGACGCACGAAATTTACGAAGGGTCATTTTTGTTTCAAACATTCAAATAATGGAATATTGATTAATTTTGCGTTATAAGCAATCAGTTTGGTTCAATTTTATCAAAATATGACCTCAGTTGGAGATGATTTCACATGTATTCAGCCAGTTTAGTTATTCTAAAGAATGTCAGCTGCAAAAGTAAAATTAAGGATCCCACAGGAAGAACGATTTCGTTTAGGTATTCGACCCCCAAAAGTTATTCTTCTGAATATTACAAATAAAGCGATGATGTACATTATTTTTGTTTATTTATGATATGAAATCTTACATGAAAATCGTTGTTTACTATTGCATGTGTTATTATGATTAAACTGTATATAAATCATGGTATCGTGTCTATCAGCAATCTTTTGATGGAAATGTCGGTGGTTAATTACATTGTGTCAAGTTCTAAAAGGTTGATACGTTTTACCATTTTGTGCAATTTTAATTGTTTGCTATTGGACTTATGGGCTATATTCTGATAAAAAATCTTTTGAAAGCTGGGGCAATTTGATGGACATGAAATTTGCAGATAAAACAATGTTAAAGCAGCATAAAACACCAAATATTATGTTCAACGTGAGGGTAGTCTGGATATTTTAAGATACAATAATGATCCATAATTCTGAATAAAAGTGTGCCTTTTCTGTTCCAAACTTGTATAAAAAGAGAGTAAAAATATTGCGTTACTTCGCTTGTTTTATAAGGAATATATAAAATAATGATTTGACTGTAATAGTTGTTAGCATAAATTTATTAAAATGAAAAGCATTTCCTATTAATAAATAAGCGCCTCTTCAAAATATATGTTTGGTAAGTTACTTGACCATACTCATACCTTTTATATAACACGTGGTATAGTATGATTACTAACACCGCAATACACAGCAGTACTACAACAACAACACTAATGATTATAATGACAACTTTCCAAGTCGCAAAAGAGTCATCTGAAAAAATGATAAACTAATTAAATACGTGAGAGTTATACCAATAAATGATAAAAAAAAAAACAACAAGAGAAACATAATAAAAACACTTTAATGGTGACAATAAATGACACCATCTGAGTTATTTCTTGTTCTAACTAGAGACCAGTATATTTTACAATAAAAAGGAGATATAATATGATTACCAATGAGACAACTAGCCACCAGAGACCAAATGACGTAGATGTCAGCAACTGTAGGCCACCGTACGGATTATATCATGTTATCGAACATTTTGAAACAATTTATTAAAGTCTCAGCTTATTTGGATGCTGTGTAGCTTATGCACATTACAACGTATGCATTCAAACATGGTTAACTGTATTTTGTTTGCATTTTTATTCTTCCACGTAATTGAAAACACTCGATTCCTGACAGTAAAGGTAAGAACGTGTATTTAAGACAACAAGCTATCCAATATTCCGAGACACGACTGCAGTAACTACATAAGATTAAGAAATAGCTCGTTTAACATAATCATATAAAGAGAAAATTACTGTAATACATCTTTTGCAAACACGTTTAAAACGGATCGCCGATGAAATGATAAAAAAAAATTGACGCCAACAATTTCTGGCTTTGTTTTCAGTCTCCTTTTTGTATAAGAGAGGCGAAAGATACCAGAGGGATATTTAAACTCATAAGTCGAAAATAAACTGACAACGCCATGGCTAAAAAAGAAAAAGACCAACAGACAAAACAGTAGTACACAAAACACAACATAGAAAACTAAAGACTGAGCAACACGAACCCCACCAAAAACTGGGGATGATCTCAGGTGCTCCAGAAGGGTGAACAGATCTTGCTCCACATGTGGCACCCGTTGTGTTGCTCATGTAAGTACAAACCCGGTATTAATTCAAATTCGGTAGGTCATATTCGGGAAAAGGGAGGACGGGTTTGTAGTCACGACATTAGGAACATATCCGCTATCATCTGTGAAAAGGATATTCCATAACGGTCAACCAACTATGTATTGGCAATAATGGAGCTATGATGTTGTGAATTCAAGTCATTTACATGGAAGTTAAAAGTAAAAATACTTGAGGTTTATATTTACAATTTCTTAATGAGTACCTATTTACAAACTATGTAAATTAAATGTGGATTTACAATATACAATTAAAACTTTGTTAAATTCGACTTTATAGATGATATTTAATGAAAACAACACTTTATGAATTATATGCATCCGAAGCGCTTTTCTGGATTTTCCTTCATTAGAAAGGCTCAATACTGAATATTGGAAAATCAAGGATTTATAAGAACTCAAACAGTTGAAGAGCTATGTAACCAAAGAGACCAAAGAAAAAACTAGCCAAATCCATCTAAGGTCAACTATTCATGGGGGAATTGAAAATATCCTTTAGAGCAGATGCGACAAAATGATAATACCTTATTTGACAATACGTTACCTGATGGTTGTTCTTGCGACGTCGACGCTGCTGTGGTTGTCTGTATCTCCGATGTGTCTAAAGGACAATCGTTAATGTCAGCCACACATTGCCCTGAACTGCATTGCTGTAATCCCTCCACACAGGGTTGTACAACTGTACCTAAGATATAAATAAGGGGTCAAATCTTCGTGTCCTGATAACAACAACTGTACTCAAGTACAAGTAGGTGTTGAAGAGACCATAACAAATAGCTACGCAATTCAACAGAAGCAAATTATGCCCAAGAATGAAAAGATATCTTTTTGCAATCTTGGAGTCAAATTATATTCCATAATTTAAGTACCAAATTGGAATTTCCTATTTGTTGGAACAGGTCAAAATTATCAAAAGGTATATAATTTAAGGCTTTTCGAACCTCAAAAGGTGAGCATGGGTTTAATCGAAGAAAGTACTTCAAATGAAACCAGTTCAGTTATATTTTATATATATTATAGTTTGATTTGAAGGTAACACAAATTTTGCATTTGCAAAAAAAGTTAATGAAATTTAAAGTGTAGTTAAAAGACGCCATACCAAAGCAATTTGTTTTTTTTTAGATTGAGACGATGAATACTAGTAAATCTAATTGTAAACCTTCAAAAGATTCTTATATGTCTAGATATAACCACCACAAAAGTTTATTATACTGTTATTTGTAATAATACCTACAATTTAATTCGTCGGAACGGTCAGAACATTCAAAGCTATTGTCACATCTGTATACAGATTGAATACAGGCTCCGTCATCACACTGAAACTCATTTGCGGCACATGTTGCCTCTGTTAATAGAAATGCAAGTGAGAGGTTCAAATAATCTTACTGAATAATTGCACTTCATCATGAGTCATTGACGGCTGCGTTAAATACGTAAATAGTTCTACTTGTACTAAGGAAAAGGTAGTATGTGAAATTCATAGTTATGGTTTAAGAAATTCAAACTCATAAGTCGAACACTAACCGACAACGCCATAGTTAAAATATGAATAAAATGTAATGTTGAGTACACATAAATGATACAGCAACCCGTAAGGATAAGTCACACTTAAATATGATGTGAAAGAAAGGGATTTCAAATTAAACGGGTTAAATATCCGATAGTAGACTAAGTATTACTAACATTATTTAATAAAGAGAGGCGAGAGATACCAAAGTGACATTCAACCTAGTTGAAAATAAACAGACAATGCCATGGCAAAATACGAAAAACAACCAAAAGACACACAACAGTAAACAAAACCCAACATATGTAGAAACTAAAGACTGAGCATCACGAATCCCACTGAAAACCGGGGTTGATCTTAGGTGCGCCGGAAAGGTTATTAGATCCTGCTCCATATGTGGCGGCCGTCGTGTTGCACATGTAAGTACAAACCCGGTAATTAGTCTAATTCGGTAGGTCACATTCGAGGAAAAGAGGACGGGAACTTTCCTAGTGACATTAAACTCAATAAATCATTTATGTGTCATACCTTATTGTTTTCTCGCTAAGCTGTCGCCACTTACGTATATCGTGATATTAAAATAATATTCCATAGTCTTTAAAGACACTGAAGTGCTTCATTTGCTAGGGCTTTGATCGCTAAAATTACACTCTCAGTGTCTCAGTTTAAAAATTTGCTAGAGACATTTTACACACTGTAACTGTTGATAAATCCAATTAATCATTGTCACTTAACATTTTCGTTATTTCCCTCACATTGGCGTTGTATGATTTTAAAATTATTTGATAGGTGATTCATTCATAGCATGAGATGCTTACTGTCTCTTCTCACCAGCCCTACTAGGAATTCATATAATTCCGATTGTTTTGCCTGTTCGATGTTTCATTTGATCGTTAGATGCACAGGTAGAAAGTAAAATAACAAAAATACCGAACTCAAAGGGAAATTCAAAACGGAAAGTCCTTTATAAAATGTCAAAATCAAAAGCTCAAACACATCTAACGAATGGAAAACAACTGTCATATTCCTGACTTGGTACAGGCATTCCCTTATATAGACAATGGTAGATTAAGCCTGGTTTTATAGCTAGCTAAACCTCTCACTTGTATGACAGTCGCATTGAATTCCATTATATTGACAATAATGTGTGAGCAAACCAAACAGACATAATAGGTAAAAACGTAAAAAATTGGGGTACAGCAGTCAACATTGTAATATAATCTTAATCACTATAATAACAAATAACTGTTTCAACAAAGATTGTTTAGATTATGTACTTTTTATAATAATCTACATTTTTATATATGATATGAAAGAAAGGGATTTTATAAGATCCCTTTCTTTCATATCATATATAATAATGTAAATTATTTTCAAATCACTAAGGATAAGGTGCTCGCTATATATATATATATATATATATATTCAACAATTATTTAACTATTGTTGAGTAACCGAGTTAAAATAATTTGTCTTTCTAGTATATGATATCTTCATTTAAATGTTTTACACAAAGATACCACTGTTTTATTATAAGAGTTATGTCCCTTAAACCTAATGTGAAACTAGCATGTAATATCCTGTACGTCCGAACCGCTTAATATTGTAACAACGAAATATATGGTCTTTTTAATACCAAAACCATTTCGAATTCTCATATTTTTTAACGTTTTTAGTATTTTATTTTTTGCTGATATTTAAAAGGATTTTGATATGCCATGTTATATGTTTCAGCTACAAAACTTTTGTTTTTATATGATCGATAAATTATCAATACTGCTTTTATTTTCAAACTATATTTACCTACTACACCATAAGTAGTTATTGAAATAAATACGATAGCAAGGAACGATAATCTTATCTTCATCTATCCTTCCTTCATCTGAAATTTAAGGTGAACAGTATGGAGAATTTGCAAACATGTGAAAAGGTTCATTAAGTTTATGAAATGTAATCAAATCTATCATATAAACTGCTTTCTTTGTGTGACAATCTTGATTATAGGTAATCAATTATACCGTTATATAGTAGTTTATTTTCAAACTGATCCAAGCCAAGATAAATTGAATGTTGATTGTTGTTTATATATATTTATAAACATATATTATTTGGCACTTGTTAACATGTGCTATATAACGGTAGTGATCACGAATAATCAAGTTTGTCACACAAAGAAAGCAAACGTCATAATCGAAAACATTTAAACTTCCTGATTTCGTTCATGTAGAATGTATATCATTCATGGTTTATCTATTTATTTTAGGAAGTGACTTTACTTCACATTATCTTTACTTATATTTTTTAAGGGGAAAATTACAGATACCTTGTTTTTAATACAATACTTTTAAATAGAAACACTGATAATTTATCTCTGCTTTTTTTTTCTTTGCTACTGTTAATTTATACAAGTAGCTGTTAGTAATACAATATAGAAAAACATTAACTTAAAGTTTAAATTGAAGTTGATTAAACTAGCTAGTATTGAAACGTACCTGTTAAAACACTTTCTACTCGTTCCATAAGTTGTAGAAAAATGGTTTTACTTCCTAGCAACCATAATATTATATGAATATGACGTGTTGGGGATTTTTAAAAGTAAAATGAAGCATATCAATATGAATATTTTTAGCTGTAACGTAAGACTTATTTATATTTAAAAATTAACAATTGATCTATTTATTGAAAATGGATTGTTTTGAAATGAAGACAGAGAAGAATATGTTTTTTTTTTACATTTCTATCAAAGTTATCGTCGCATTGATAACAAAAAACTGATATTTAACATTGCGCATTGGGCAAGTGGTATTTATACAAATGGTTTATGTATGGTTGTGCAGACAAGACGTTTTTTAAGCATGTCAGATAGCCCGTGAGAAAATGAAATATATTTCTTTTTTTCCCCAGTTCGTGTTTTTTTAATTTTACTACAATATTTTCCCGGCTGCTACGTTATTATTAAGTCACTATATACATGTATCTGATATATTCAATCAAATTGATTAAAAATTTATTGTTTACAAAACTGAATTTTTCGAAATAGTAAGGATTTTCTATTCCATGAATAGATTACCGTAGCTGAATTTGGCAAAACCTTTCGGAACTTTGGATCCTCAATGTTCTTAAACTTAGTACTTTATTTGGCCTTTTTCAACTTTTTTGATTCGAGCGTCACTGATGAATCTTTTGGAGATGAAACGAGAGTCTGACGTAGAATTTTTTTCTACGTCTGCCATTCTTTCCGCTTAATCTTTTTTCAGCATTACTATACGTAATTGCTGATTCCGATTTTCAATTGAGTACCATTTTGGGTTAGACGCTGCTCAAAAATGGCCTTGCTCATTTGTTTTTTCTTTTTTGAATTTTTAATAAACCGTACTCACTGAAAAAAATGTAATGAAAACATGTATATAACAAACTGATTTATACGATTATTACATCACTACTATTTCAATAAGAAATACATAAATAATTTGAATCATCGATATTTGTAAATTTCAAATAAAACTATCTTATATTTAGTATAATGTATAATGTATTCATGTATGTAGTCTTAAATGTTGCGTGTTAAACTTGTGAAACCGTTAAATATTCTTCATTATATTTTATACCTCTTTGAATTAAGCGTCTGACATTTAAATGCAATTTGAATTAATGAATGTTTTCAATAACTGTACTAGATTTAAACACGGGAAAATGCACACACACAAAAATACGACAAAAGGGATAATTTTTTGCTCCTTCTGTTTATTTTCTTTTTTGACGGTGATTATCCTTTGGTATCATCTAACGGTGTTGATATATCCCAACTCAATCGCTCTCCCGGTGTCTATAGTGACGTTTTGGATTTCTATGAAAGTAATCTATTTATTACTGATAGAATAATAAGTCAAGGATTTCGTTACCAAAAAATACTTAAAGTGTTTCTAAAGTTTTTTTTTATAGATACAAATATTTAGTTTGGAAGTTTGGCTATACCTGTACAAAACTTATTACAAACGGGATAACCCATTCTAGTATGTACGGTGATGTTTTTTACCGAGCCCGTAAATTTAGATACGATCCGGGTAGAGTTGTCAATCCTTTAAATAAACTTATTCTAAAAAAAAATACCAACTCAGCACTATAAGTAGATCTTTCAATATTGTTTGTATCTGTATAACTTGTTTTTTTTTATAAATAAATTCAAAACACAACTTAATATTATTGTTATACACATATCCACATTCACGGTACTACAATCTATCGATACCTATATTTTGGCATTGCATAAGGTCATGTTTTTCGCTGACTTTTAATGACGTCTTTAAAATAAATCCATTGGGAGTTTGATGTGTACTGACTGATATTTTAGTCTTAGATACATGATTGTATTATTAGTTGTTATTGTCTTTAAACTAGCTTTAAATTATAAATTCTTCTATTTTCAAAGCAATGTGTTCCATACAGAGCCAAATAGCAAAATAATCATAGCACTGCCACATCTCAGTTTAAGATTTTCTCTTAGAATTTAAAGGTTCTTGCTCTGTATTGGCTACTCAAACTACGTAAAGAAAGTCTGTCAATTATCGTTTCATCTTAGCTTATAGTAAGTGTTCTACTACTTATCTTATTTTGTAACTAGTTCCCCTACTAAAATTTTTTAAAAATGTAATAAAGCATATGAAAATAATGGATTTAATGGAGTATAGAATATTCTTTTGATGTTTTGGGTAATATCGTGCTTTCGATGGTTCATTCAATTCGGTTGACACTTTACGACACTCTACACTACACTTCCACACAATATAGCAAAATATTTACAAAATATTAGATTAGAGATTTATTTGATGCAACTCATTTAAGGTAGATCGGGTGTCTTTTTCTAAGCATCCCTTTTAGGCATGTTGCAAAAATACTTTTTTGTTTGAAAAATATTTTGCCAAGTATCATTCAGTATACAACAGAAATATCAAAAACTTGAAATTTAAAGATTAAACTACCAGAGAATAAAGTGTCTTTAAGTGAATTTAAAATTTTCAGAAAAAAAAAACATTTCGGCTTTGAGCGTTCCTGATGAAGGTAAATCCAGAAAAGCGCTTCGGACGCATTAACGTGATGTATTCATTTTTCAAAATCAAGGGCAGATAATCATATTGAATTTGATAGGACTATTTATGTTTTGGGGATATTTCAAGAAAATAAGGCCCGTGACCCCTATTATTATTTGATAGTATTTTTATCTTTATGAAAAGCAATTCTCTCATTGAATTTTAACCAATGCTATTGTTTAATGGTTCCTCAATTAGAACGAGGAAAAATTAAGTTTCCTCTATATAACTCATATAGAATAAACGCGATTTCGTTAGTTTCATGTATTTTAACAGAAAAACAAGGTTCGTAATCCCCAGTTTTTAAATGGAAATTTAAAAGTAAATTGACACAGAAGTCTTTTACAGAAGTTTAAGAAAAATCTATTGTTGAACATTTAGACATCCCAGCTACACTAAAGCCTTTTTTCTGTATGAAAAAGGTAAATATGCTAGATATATACTATTGGAAATGTGAAGAGATGATTAAAGTTGTCTCCTTGTAAATTATCAGTTATGTATGTTAAATGAAATTTAACAGGTTGTCGAAGAGAAGATGAAGATACCAAAGGGATGTTGAAACTCAAAAGTCGAAGACAAACTCACAATTCTAAGACAAACTCACAAGTCGAAGACAAACTCACAAGTCGAAGACAAACTCACAAGTCTAAGACAAACTCACAAGTCTAAGACAAACTCACAAGTCGAAGACAAACTCACAAGTCTAAGACAAACTCGCAAGTCGAAGACAAACTCACAAGTCTAAATTCTAAGACAAACTCACAAGTCGAAGACAAACTCACAAGTCTAAATTCTAAGACAAACTCACAAGTCTAAGACAAACTCACAAATCGAAGACAAACTCACAAGTCTGAGACAAACTCACAAGTCGAAGACAAACTCACAAGTCTGCATGAGACAAACTCACAAGTCTGAGACAAACTCACAAATCTAAGACAAACTCACAAGTCGAAGACAAACTCACAAGTCGAAGACAAACTCACAAGTCGAAGACAAACTCACAAGTCGAAGACAAACAGACGTTATGTTGTATGTAATATTTGTTTTTCATTTATTCCTTGCCATTTATAATGCCGTTATTTTTTTTTGTTTGAACTGTTTTATATTTTATCATTTTGGGTTTTTTTATAGCTGACTATACGATATGGTTATTGATCATTGTGTTAAGCCGTACGGTGACTTAAAATTGCTAAATTTCACGTCATTTGCGCTTTTTTTATATAGTTGTTTCATTGGCCATTATGCTACTTGTCCTTATATTATATTCAATAATAAAAGTCAAGTATACATTGATGAGACAATCGACATCTTATGCAGTTTTTGAATGTTAGAATTCTTAGAAAAACCTATGCTTTTTCTATACCAAGGAATAAATGGTCAAAAACGAATTCGGCACGACGTTTGGCAATGCCTGTCAATCGTAATTCATTTGGCCTTTAAACAGCTACGATTTAATACACGCCAATAATGAATTGTGAAGACGAAAAGGGCATACGGCGTACTGTATTGTAAGACTGGTAGCTTTATCTAACTTTTTACCATCAATTGGACGAGTGAGTTGGAAGGCATAAAACGGACTTCTACAGGTTACAAATTACTGAGACCACGATTATTTTAGTGACATAAAACGCAATTTTTCAATGAGTGCCGGAAAAATTTCTCATGTTATTTTATCTTTTTATGTGATTACACTTGTAAACCATGTTATAAAGTACCGGTGTTAGCTCAGGTTAACGAATAATTGTTTCTGAACTAAGAAAATAACGTTTGAAATACTCGTGCAATACCCACTAATATTACGGCTAGGTAAACAAAGATTTCAGACAATCGTTCACAATACAGCAAATCAACGACATCACCGTAAAGATAACTAGTGGTACAAGTTTGCATTCAAATTTCCAAGACGGGAGGCTCTTTCATGTTTTCATTATCTCGTAAAATTTGGAAAGAGACTGTTCGTAAAATGCACACATTTAATTTGTTCTTTAAGGCACAGAATCAATTTTGATTTTATGATATTCGGCCTACTTTTGTTTTTTCTCTCAATTCAAAGGCTGTATGAAATGAATGCCCATGAAAAGTGCATAACAATAGACGAAACCTGATTTTACTACTTTAACAGGACGAAAGAAGTCGAAAGCTGAAACCTGTGAACCGTCTCGGTGGTCTCGTGACAGGGTGTTCGCCACGAGTGCGGAAGGTCGTGGGTCCGAACCCCGGCCGGTTCAAACCAAAGACTTCAAAATTTGTATTTGCATGCTGCTTCTCTGTTAAGCACGCGGCATTAAGGGGTAAGAGCAGACTGGTCGGCTCGGAGTCAGAATAATGTGTTAAGGTAAGGTGACATGTCTTCCTAAGGACTGATACCTTGTAAACTAGCACGTTAAAAATTCGGCTTAGTATGTCGGTCTAGTACAAAGCAGGGTAAATATTCATATGACATTAACATATTCTCGTCCTCAATATTCATATTAATTTGCCGCTGGACGTTAAATAGTTAT